CCCTCACTCCCCCTCTCTCCCTCCCCATCACTCCCCTCCTCCCTCCCTCACTCCCCATCCCCTACTCCCCCCTCCTGCCCTCCCCTCCTCACTCCCCCTCCTCCCTCCCTCCACTCCCCCTCCTCCCTCCCCTCACTCTCCCTCCTCCCTCTCCCTCACTCACTCCCCTCCTCCCTCCCCTCACTCCCCCTCCTCCCTCCCCTACACTTCTCCCTCCTCCCTCCCCTCACTCTCCCTCCTCCCTCCCCTCCCTCCCCCTCCTCCCTCCCCTCACTCCCCTCCTCCTCCCATCACTCTCCCTCCTCCCTCCCCTCAATCCTCCTCCTCCCTCCCTCACTCCCCCTCCTCCCTCCCCTCACTCCCCTCCTCCCTCCCCCTCACCCCCCCTCCTCCCTCCCCTCACTCCCCTCCTCCCTCCCCTCACTCCCCCTCCTCCCTCCCCTCACTCCCCCTCTTCATTTCCCCCTCCCCCTTCCCTTGCCACCCGCGAACCGCAATTTAAAACGCGTTATTCTAAAACGCTCACTTTGCCCCCATATCGGCGCCAGTACAACGCATCGCCTGCCCAGCTCCACCACGCAAAAGCGATGGGAGGCAGCAGCGTGCTGGGCCCACACGGCTCAGGCTCTATCCACTGCTGTGTTAACACGGCTCAGGCTCTACCCACTGCTGGGTTAACACGGCTCAGGCTCTACCCACTGCTGTGTTAACACGGCTCAGGCTCTATCCACTGCTGTGTTACACGGCTCAGGCTCTATCCACTGCTGGGCTCACACGGCTCAGGCTCTATCCACTGCTGTGTTAACACGCTCAGGGCTCTATCCACTGCTGTGTTAACACGGCTCAGGCTCTATCCACTGCTGTGGTCACAACGGCTCAGGCTCTATCCACTGCTGTGTTAACACGGCTCAGGCTCTATCCACTGCTGTGTTAACACGGCTCAGGCTCTATCCACTGCTGTGTTAACACGGCTCAGGCTCTATCCACTGCTGTGGTCACACGGCTCAGGCTCTATCCACTGCTGTGTTAACACGGCTCAGGCTCTACCCACTGCTGTGTTAACACGGCTCAGGCTCTATCCACTGCTGTGTTAACACGGCTCAGGCTCTATCCACTGCTGTGTTTAACACGGCTCAGGCTCTATCCACTGCTGGGCTCACACGGCTCAGGCTCTATCCACTGCTGTGTTAACACGGCTCAGGCTCTATCCCACTGCTGTGTTAACACGGCTCAGGCTCTATCCACTGCTGTGTTAACACGGCTCAGGCTCTATCCACTGCTGTGTTAACACGGCTCAGGCTCTATCCACTGCTGGGCTCACACGGCTCAGGCTCTATCCACTGCTGTGTTAACACGGCTTCAGGCTCTATCCACTGCTGTGTTAACACGGCTCAGGCTCTATCCACTGCTGTGTTAACACGGCTCAGGCTCTATCCACTGCTGTGTTAACACGGCTCAGGCTCTATCCAATGCTGGGCTCACACGGCTCAGGCTCTATCCACTGCTGTGTTAACACGGCTCAGGCTCTATCCACTGCTGGCTCACACGGCTCAGGCTCTATCCACTGCTGTGCTCACACGGCTCAGGCTCTATCCACTGCTGGGTTAACACGGCTCAGGCTCTATCCCACTGCTGTGTTAACACGGCTCAGGCTCTATCCACTGCTGTGTTAACACGGCTCAGGCTCTATCCACTGCTGTGTTAACACGGCTCAGGCTCTATCCACTGCTGGGCTCACACGGCTCAGGCTCTATCCACTGCTGTGTTAACACGGCTCAGGCTCTATCCACTGCTGTGGTCACACGGCTCAGGCTCTATCCACTGCTGTGTTAACACGGCTCAGGCTCTATCCACTGCTGTGTTAACACGGCTCAGGCTCTATCCACTGCTGTGTTAACACGGCTCAGGCTCTATCCACTGCTGTGTTAACACGGCTCAGGCTCTATCCACTGCTGGGCTCACACGGCTCAGGCTCTATCCACTGCTGTGTTAACACGGCTCAGGCTCTATCCACTGCTGGGCTCACACGGCTCAGGCTCTATCCACTGCTGGGCTCACACGGCTCAGGCTCTATCCACTGCTGTGTTAACACGGCTCAGGCTCTATCCACTGCTGTGTTAACACGGCTCAGGCTCTATCCACTGCTGGGCTAACACAGCTCAGGCTCTATCCACTGCTGTGTTAACACGGCTCAGGCTCTATCCACTGCTGTGTTAACACGGCTCAGGCTCTATCCACTGCTGTGTTAACACGGCTCAGGCTCTATCCACTGCTGTGTTAACACGGCTCAGGCTCTATCCACTGCTGTGGTCACACGGCTCAGGCTCTATCCACTGCTGTGTTAACACGGCTCAGGCTCTATCCACTGCTGTGTTAACACGGCTCAGGCTCTATCCACTGCTGTGTTAACACGGCTCAGGCTCTATCCACTGCTGGGTTAACACGGCTCAGGCTCTATCCACTGCTGGGTTAACACGGCTCAGGCTCTATCCACTGCTGTGTTAACACGGCTCAGGCTCTATCCACTGCTGTGTTAACACGGCTCAGGCTCTATCCACTGCTGGGCTAACACAGCTCAGGCTCTATCCACTGCTGTGTTAACACGGCTCAGGCTCTATCCACTGCTGTGCTCACACGGCTCAGGCTCTATCCACTGCTGTGTTAACACGGCTCAGGCTCTATCCCACTGCTGTGTTAACACGGCTCAGGCTCTATCCACTGCTGTGTTAACACGGCTCAGGCTCTATCCACTGCTGTGTTAACACGGCTCAGGCTCTATCCACTGCTGTGTTAACACGGCTCAGGCTCTATCCACTGCTGTGGTCACACGGCTCAGGCTCTATCCACTGCTGTGTTAACACGGCTCAGGCTCTATCCACTGCTGTGGTCACACGGCTCAGGCTCTATCCACTGCTGTGGTCACACGGCTCAGGCTCTATCCACTGCTGTGTTAACACGGCTCAGGCTCTATCCACTGCTGGGCTCACGGCTCAGGCTCTATCCACTGCTGGGTTAACACGGCTCAGGCTCTATCCACTGCTGTGGTCACACGGCTCAGGCTCTATCCACTGCTGTGGTCACACGGCTCAGGCTCTATCCACTGCTGTGTTAACACGGCTCAGGCTCTATCCACTGCTGTGTTAACACGGCTCAGGCTCTATCCACTGCTGTGGTCACACGGCTCAGGCTCTATCCACTGCTGTGGTCACACGGCTCAGGTTCTATCCACTGCTGTGTTAACACGGCTCAGGCTCTATCCACTGCTGTGTTAACACGGCTCAGGCTCTATCCACTGCTGGGCTCACACGGCTCAGGCTCTATCCACTGCTGGGTTAACACGGCTCAGGCTCTATCCACTGCTGTGTTAACACGGCTCAGGCTCTATCCACTGCTGGGGTCACACGGCTCAGGCTCTATCCACTGCTGGGCTCACACGGCTCAGGCTCTATCCACTGCTGTGGTCACACGGCTCAGGTTCTATCCACTGCTGTGTTAACACGGCTCAGGCTCTACCCACTGCTGGGTTAACACGGCTCAGGCTCTATCCACTGCTGTGTTAACACGGCTCAGGCTCTATCCACTGCTGTGGTCACACGGCTCAGGCTCTATCCACTGCTGGGCTCACACGGCTCAGGCTCTATCCACTGCTGTGGTCACACGGCTCAGGTTCTATCCACTGCTGTGTTAACACGGCTCAGGCTCTACCCACTGCTGGGTTAACACGGCTCAGGCTCTATCCACTGCTGTGTTAACACGGCTCAGGCTCTATCTACTGCTGGGTTAACACAGCTCAGGCTCTATCCACTGCTGGGTTAACACGGCTCAGGCTCTATCCACTGCTGGATGGCGGACCCTACATATGATGATGTATTGACACTAGCATGTCACTTCAATGCGGTGGACAATTGATAACACTTCACCTCGCGTCACTTCCAATGTCAACACTGAAATCCACTTAAGCCGATCACTGGCCTCCTCGGACAGGTCGCCTGCCCCGCGCTTCTCGCTCCACCTCCCCTGGAGGGGGTCCCCACTCTGTTCTGCGTCCCTCTCCCCATCGGGCAGCAAAAACACAGACGTGACTTTGTGCGCCAACGCGGCCCTGCAGGGGTCGCCGGCTCAGCGTCAATGATGCCGTGGCTCAAACGCCCTTGACGTCTCGGGCAGCCGCTCAGGCGGGCGACGAGAGGGGGCGATGAGGTCCCACTTTGGCAGCTCCACTGGCCAACGACATCGCAGGGGGCTGGCACGGGCTCTGTTGCTGCAAGAAGTGACATTGAATGGGCCCCGATCCCCATGCCCATTAAGCACTGGGGAGACGAACGCGGCCGGGCGTGGTGCTGGCCACCCTCGCCCCGAGTGCAGTGCCGGCCTTCGTAGGCGCTGCTCGCGAACAGCACTTGCCCTAACAGCCTGTGCAGGCCACGCGGGGATCTTTGGGTACGTAGGCAAGAGGTACTTGGTGGTCAAAGTTGTAGGTCACAACCTCCGCTATTACATACCTGCTAGCCCGATCAATATTTACACTTTTTTTTTATCACGTACCGATTGTGAAAGCATTTTTTTTTGTATCACAAATCTTATAAGGCAGTGTGATCAACTTTGAAAATCAGCGTGCGGTAAGTTTAAAACGGTACGGTTTGCTAGTTTGGTACCTATGGCTGGTTAGCTGGTGTGAGGTCGGGATAGAATGTTTTTTAAATGTTTAAATAACATACGTTGGTTGGCTACATTTAGAGATAAGAGCTCGTACTAGTGGTCGATTGGCACGTTGTGGATCAGTGGGAGGACGAGTTCCAGTGGCTGATTGGGTAGGTTCAGGTCAGTGGGAGGACTGTATTGCTAGCATTTGATTGGCTCGTGCTCCACCCCAAAGCTCCTCAGCCATTCTCGTGTTGGCAGTCCTCTTATTTCCAGTGTCGACCTGGCACCATTTCACAATGCACACTCCCTCAAACAGTTCCACACTCAAATACACACACACAAGCCATGAGCGAGGCTATAAGTCTCAAAGTGGATTGTTTATTCTGTGCTCGGGAGGTACAGATGCAATGTACATGTTTTGGCGGGTGCCAGACAACACAGCGCGTGTCCAGGTCGGGGGGAGGCGGGCGGGGAAGAGACAACACAATTTGAGGCCCACGGTGACAACCGCAGGAACACACACACACACACGGCTGCTGGGACGGAGTGGCCACACCGCGAGGGACTGCACAGGAGGGCCCGTCGAGGTTGGCGAGGGTGAGACAGATGTGGGGGGTCCAATTCACGCAGTCAGAAAGTCAAGGACCCGAGTCGACTTCAACAGAAACCTGGGTGGTACAAGATGGGGGGGGGGGGGGGGGGCACAAGAGCGAGAAAAAGTAATTAGGCTTGTCCACTTGTGAATGTCGCAGGTTGACCTGGCAGTTTGTGAAGCCAAACCCATTTAAAGGATTAGTTTAATGTCATACACACGGGTCTTGTTTCACCATTTAAAAATAAATGAACATTTACTCAGAGCGAAGTTCTGCTGGGCTGCCTGAAATGTCACAGCATGGGGCCCGTTCAGCACAGTACAGCAACTTAACACACAGTTTTCTCGTTACAGCAGAACCCACAACTACATCAGTTTATTTTTACATCACTGGATGCTCTTTTTACAGAGACAAAAGGCCAGAGGCTGTTAGGAAAATAGTGTATCCTTCCAAATTTATACAAATATCAATAACACGCATTCTGCAAGAGTACTCAACTGTCCACTATAAACTGACAGTGGTGTTACAGATGATGTATGTGCCAAAGCGACATTAGCAAATAACATTTCAAAACCACAATTGTATCCATTAAATCTGATATATATTTTCAAACATCACGCACAGATAAAACCAACCCCTCTGTTGCAGTAATTACTATGAAAGACATCGATCATCACGGCGAGCCTGTCACTGCACTGCGCCCACATGGGGAACGAAGGGGAACCGGTAGCTACGCAATGATTTATAGCAGAAATTTCACCGTCATTTGTTTTCATCTGTCACACACATTTGGCCTCATTTTTATGTATAGCTTTTGGGTTACTCTACTTCGAAAGGTACCCCCCCAAGACTGTCGATCAAGGGTTGTTTGAACATACTTCACCATGCTGGTCAGTGTGGAAATAGCACTCGCAACTGGTGGTAGCCGCTGCCGGGAATCGAACATTGGGTTGACAGGTTCATAGCGAAGTGCGCTGATCACTGAGCCAACACTCCACCCCTCTTTCATTTTGTCCGATTTGTACCGTTTTTGCTAACTCATGTGTACAGCCCATCTCGGGCATACTTTGTCCTCATATCTCGTTTGTATAATTAGTTTAGTTTTTCCCCTCATTTGAATTGTCCATCTCATATGTTGTCTTGGAGTTTCCGTTCCGTTTGGGGCAGGTAACATTCACATGCAACGTGCACAGATCAAGAACAACCATGTGAGGATATGAATGGCGTGTGTGCCGGTGTATGTATAGTGTGGAGTGAGAGAGCACTACAGTGTCTGGTTGTGTGTATGGTGTGCATGTTAACGTATACGCGTGTAGTACAAGCATGAATCAATGCACGTACCCGCAAGCATAATAATCGATTTTAATCACCAAACCGTTACAGCCTGGAAAGCAATTCAGTTCTACTCATGATGATAGAGATGGTACGGGGTTTCGGTGTGAGTATGGCGGAGGGTTTTCTTCCACCGACCGTGAACAGGGGGGGGGGCGCGAGTTGAAAGGCTGGGGGGGAAGCCCCATCACGCCTTGTCAATGCCCAGCTCCTCAGGGGTGCTGATCCCCAGCTCCGTGAGTGTTGGCTGAAGCTCCTGCACCACGTAGGGGTAGATGTCCTTGTTGTTGCCGGCCTTTTCCTGCATTCGCCAGTGGGGGGCGACGTCGCGTTAGCTCAACAGCATCCAGACAACAATGCCCGCTACGCATGTAAACTGGTAACACGAACTTTGGAGTGATTGCAAGAAATAGAGCAATTAAATCAGCTAATGTGCAGATGCACGATAAGATTATTGCATCGAGGGCTTATTTTTTCACTCAATGTTATCCGGGTGACTGGTAGGCCGGATTAGGTGTCACGTGACGAGTACTTAGAGCCACAATGAGAGGTATGTTGAATAGGGTGTGCCAGTTGCGGAAATATTTCCCACGTCACCAAACCAGACAGACCCAGCTGAAATGAATCCTGGTTGCATCGCAGGAGCGTGAGAAATGGTGACAGGTTAGGGATGTATTCATCCAGGAGTAGATTGAGCATTGCTTGAAGGTGCCCCAGGAAAGCCTCACTGCCTCTTATTGAGGAAGTCCTATTCCTACATTGGGACGTTCAGACAACTGTATGTTTGGTATGTGGAAATAAACTGGAAAACCTGGAGAAAACCCACAAAGCACACCAAGGGATAATCATGAAAGGTGACATCCCTTGGCTGCAGCAAAGACATTTCTACCTCTGGCGCAGAATTAGAACGTAACATAGGTTACTATGCACGCTCATTTTGAGCAAGAAGCCTATTGACATATTTTATTATTTTATTGTTTCCCTTCAACGTGACTTTACCGAAAGAACCAAGAATATGAATCACTGCAGTCACGAAAGCTTTAAATCAAAATATAAGCCAATTGACCTTGAGTTTTCACATTACACACCGCCGCATGGCGCAGTGGTTAAAGCACGCCGCTCACATTCGCAAGGCTGCGAGTTTCAAGTCCTGGTGAGTTTGCAGATCAACCCTTCATTCAGCTCCAATAACATGCGAGCGACATTGTCAGAAGCGTACAGCAATTTCCATATGCATTTCCTTTCCTCTACCATAGGAATGAGGAACATCCACCACTGGCTCAAGAGCTGTAAAGAGGTTCTGAGTACCTCATCGTCCAGAAAAAGAATGTAATGATGTTCACTGTTACGCGTGCCTGTGTCGGCTGGGGTTTACAACCGTGGCGAAACCCAAAACACGATCATCTCATCTATCGACGGCTTCTTCCTGAGGCCCCCCCAAGGCTGCGGGGTGCCACCCCACACCCCCCGCAACTCGCACCTTGACAGCCTCGAGGATGCGGATGGCGCTGGCCAGGTCGTTGAGACGGCGGCATGCCCGCATCGCGGCCGACAGGATCTTGGGCTCGGGCACCAGGTCGTATCCGTAGAGCGTGTTGAGCCCCTTGCGCAGCTCCCACGCGTCTATGTCCGACTTGTTAAAGTACGACTCCCAGCGCGCGTCAAACTCCTCGTCCGTTTCCTGCGCGGCGTGCGAGTAGGGCCGCACGGCCACCATCAGGGACGAGGCCGGGGCCACTACTGCTGTGCGTGAAAACACGCATGCGCGGGCGCACACACACACACAGCGGGCACCTCCGATTAGCAGTTGGCGACGTACGGTGCGAAAGAAGTTCAGCGTACATACACACATGCGGGGAGAGGAAGACACACGGGTCACGCGCTGGACTCCAAGAAACTACCTGCAACCTTAGGCTGCTTCCCACTCGTGGACGAGTTGCATCCCTGGCCGGGCTGCACGCCAATTACACTTTACTCAGTTGCACAATTTATGGATGTGATTTTTTTTCACCTGACCACTCTATACGTGCTAGCCCCGGTTACATGCAACCGACGTAGACGCACAGGTGCCGCGCGCTGCACACCTGGAGTGGGCAGGTGCGGCTACACCTCCCCCCCACTGCTGTGAGAAAATCCCTTCGCGTTCTCAGTCACGTACGCAAGTCACGATCCAATGAATCGCCATAATCGGAGGTCTGGATTACATTTAGTAATCGATTCTTGTACTTGTACTATTCTACTGTATTTTAACTGCATCGTTTATGCTGTCATGTCTCGGTACTGCCTGTACTGTCTCGTTTGTAAAGTATCGTCTTTTTTTCCGACTCGTTCAAACCATTACATGAAAGGAGAAAAAAAATACTAAATTTGCACCAAGCCTTACAAAACCGATTCACCCACACACACCGCATTGTGAACGTCAAATGAAATTGATTAATCGTCATTGGTCACAGGCCACTTTCTGCGACCGTGACAATGACCCTGAAACCTCGGCCCAATTCCGCGACTCAGCTGCCGACTGCCCCAAGAGGGGAGGCCACGGACTGAGTTCAATGCCACCTCGTGCGTCAAGGTGAGACGACGACCTCACCTCCAAGATCAAACCACAGACACAAGATCGACCCCCATCCCCGGCGCTGCAACGTGTCCCCGATGTCACCATGCCCGCACAGGGGACACCCAAGGACGACGGGGTACCCTGAACGTAGTGGGGACCCAGTGGCAGACACAACCGCGGCGGAATGAGGAAGACGAGACTCCCATGGGCAGAGTGAAAAAGGACTTCAAGAAGGGACACATGGTACTCTAGTGACATTAATGGGGTTCCCGAGGAGATAAGAGGTTACCCCAAGGTGATAAGTTTAGACCCCCCGATGGGATAGACCGATTCAGATCGGGGGTTGAGGGGGCTCCAAGACAAGAGAGCAGAGCGGTGACCCTGAAGGGACACCGAGGGGAACTCCGTAAAGGGATAGGTAAGGAGACCCCGAGGGGACACGTTAGAGACTTGCGGAGATCCCAAAAGGAAACGGCCCTACGGGATAGTGGGAACCCCGAAGCGATACGGAGACGTTGGGGAAGACTGGGCACTCGGGATAGAATCAGGGATGGGACTCAAGCGAGTAAGGAGCTCAAGGGGATAGAAGAGTCACGTTGACAGCGCGAGGGGTTCCAAGGGGCTAGCGAGGGGACCCACGGGGCCCCGCAAAGACGCAGAGGCCGCACTCTCAAATCCCCACCACAGATACGCGCGCCAGCAGCACCGCACGCCTCCCCGTTGGGCGACGGGGTACCACGTGATGTCACCACGGCCAATGGGGAACAGCGGGGCGCCTATGCGCGCTGGGAAATCAGAGGGCCGGGCACGCGCGGTCACAGCCGCGGGAGCGACAAGGGCACGGGACCTCACCGCGACGCGCGGGCGGCGAGACGCGCGAGGACGCGGCCCGGAGCCCCGAGCAAGTGCGAGAGAGCGCGGCGCGCAGCATGACGGCTGTTGGAAGACGCTGGTGGAGCGGGGGGGTCGCTTGGACTGAGTCGAGTAGAGCCGCCGCTGCTGCCACCTCCGGTTGCTCCCTTTGAGAACAAGATGGTGGGGATGCGGCGCGGAAGCGTAGATCCGGTGACGTCACCCGTATGCAAATGAGGCGCGATGAAGTGGGGGTGGGGAGGACGCTTTACGCAAACACATGGTGCACCCAAAAAGATGGGGGATACAAACACATGGTGCACCCAAAAAGATGGGGGATACAAACACATGGTGCACCCAAAAAGATGGGGGATACAAACACATGGTGCACCCAAAAAGATGGGGGATACAAACACATGGTGCACCCAAAAAGATGGGGGATACAAACACATGGTGCACCCAAAAAGATGGGGATACAAACACATGGTGCACCCAAAAAGATGGGGGATACAAACACATGGTGCACCCAAAAGATGGGGGATACAAACACATGGTGCACCCAAAAAGATGGGGGATACAAACACATGGTGCACCCAAAAAGATGGGGGATACAAACACATGGTGCACCCAAAAAGATGGGGGATAAAAACACATGGTGCACCCAAAAAGATGGGGGATACAAACACATGGTGCACACAGACATGGGGGATACAAACACATGGTGCACACAGAGATGGGGGATACAAACACATGGTGCACCCAGAGATGGGGGATACAAACACATGGTGCACCCAAAAAGATGGGGGATACAAACACATGGTGCACCCAAAAACATGGGGGATACAAACACATGGTGCACACACAGAGATGTGGGGGGATACAAACACATGATGCACACAGACATGGGGGATACAAACACATGGTGTACACAGAGATGGGGGATACAAACACATGGTGCACACAGAGATGGGGGGATACAAACACATGGTGCACCCAAAAAGATGGGGGATACAAACACATGGTGCACCCAAAAAGATGGGGGATACAAACACATGGTACACACAGAGATGTGGGATACAAACACATGGTGCACCCAAAAAGATGGGGGATACAAACACATGGTACACACAGAGATGTGGGATACAAACACATGGTGTACACAGAGATGTGGGATACAAACACATGGTGCACACACACAGATGGAGGATACAAACACATGGTACACACAGAGAGATGTGGGGATACAAACACATGGTACACACACAGAGATGTGGGATACAAACACATGGTGCACACAGACATGGGGGGGATACAAACACATGGTGCACACAGACATGGGGGGGATACAAACACATGGTGCACACACAGAGATGTGGGATACAAACACACGGTGCACACACAGAGATGTGGGGATACAAACACATGGTGCACACAGAGATGGGGGGATACAAACACATGGTGCACCCAAAAAGATGGGGGATACAAACACATGGTGCACCCAAAAAGATGGGGGATACAAACACATGGTACACACAGAGATGTGGGATACAAACACATGGTGCACCCAAAAAGATGGGGGATACAAACACATGGTACACACAGAGATGTGGGATACAAACACATGGTGTACACAGAGATGTGGGATACAAACACATGGTGCACACACACAGATGGAGGATACAAACACATGGTACACACAGAGAGATGTGGGGATACAAACACATGGTACACACACAGAGATGTGGGATACAAACACATGGTGCACACAGACATGGGGGGGATACAAACACATGGTGCACACAGACATGGGGGGGATACAAACACATGGTGCACACACAGAGATGTGGGATACAAACACACGGTGCACACACAGAGATGTGGGGATACAAACACATGGTGCACACAGAGAGATGTGGGGATACAAACACATGGTGCACACACAGAGATGGGGGATACAAACACATGGTGCACACACAGAGATGGGGGATACAAACACATGGTACACACACAGAGATGGGGGATACAAACACATGGTGCACACAGACATGGGGGATACAAACACATGGTGCACACAGAGAGATGGGGGGGGATACAAACACATGGTGCACACAGACATGGGGGATACAAACACATGGTACACACAGAGATGTGGAACCTAAACACATGGTGCACACACAGAGATGGGGGATACAAACACATGGTGTACACAGAGATGGGGGATACAAACACATGGTGCACACAGAGATGGGGGATACAAACACATGGTACACACAGAGATGGGGGATACAAACGCATGGTGCACACAGAGATGGGGGATACAAACACATGGTGCACACACAGAGATGGAGGATACAAACACATGGTACACACAGACATGGGGGATACAAACACATGGTGCACACAGAGATGGGGGATACAAACACATGGTGCACACACAGAGATGGAGGATACAAACACATGGTACACACAGAGATGGGGGATACAAACACATGGTGCACACACAGAGATGGGGGGGATACAAACACATGGTGCACACAGACATGGGGGACACAAACACATGGTGCACACACAGAGATGTGGGGATACAAACACATGGTCCACACAGAGATGGGGGATACAAACACATGGTGCGCACACAGACATGGGGGGGATACAAACACATGGTGCACACAGACATGGGGGGGGATACAAACACATGGTGCACACACACAGAGATGGGGGATACAAACACATGGTGTACACAGAGATGGGAGATACAAACACATGGTGCACACAGAGATGGGGGATACAAACACATGGTACACACAGAGATGGGGGATACAAACACATGGTGCACACAGAGATGGGGGATACAAACACATGGTGCACACACAGAGATGGAGGATACAAACACATGGTACACACAGACATGGGGGATACAAACACATGGTGCACACAGAGATGGGGGATACAAACACATGGTGCACACACAGAGATGGAGGATACAAACACATGGTGCACACACAGAGATGGGGGGGATACAAACACATGGTGCACACAGACATGGGGGACACAAACACATGGTGCACACACAGAGATGTGGGGATACAAACACATGGTGCACACAGAGATGGGGGATACAAACACATGGTGCGCACACAGAGATGGGGGGGATACAAACACATGGTGCACACAGACATGGGGGGGGATACAAACACATGGTGCACACACACAGAGATGGGGGATACAAACACATGGTGTACACAGAGATGGGAGATACAAACACATGGTGCACACAGAGATGGGGGATACAAACACATGGTACACACAGAGATGGGGGATACAAACACATGGTGCACACAGAGATGGGGGATACAAACACATGGTGCACACACAGAGATGGAGGATACAAACACATGGTACACACAGACATGGGGGATACAAACACATGGTGCACACAGAGATGGGGGATACAAACACATGGTGCACACACAGAGATGGAGGATACAAACACATGGTACACACAGAGATGGGGGATACAAACACATGGTGAACACACAGAGATGGGGGGGATACAAACACATGGTGCACACAGACATGGGGGACACAAACACATGGTGCACACACAGAGATGTGGGGATACAAACACATGGTGCACACAGAGATGGGGGATACAAACACATGGTGCGCACACAGAGATGGGGGGGATACAAACACATGGTGCACACAGACATGGGGGGGGATACAAACACATGGTGCACACACACAGAGATGGGGGATACAAACACATGGTGTACACAGAGATGGGGGATACAAACACATGGTGCACACAGAGATGGGGGATACAAACACATGGTGCACCCAAAAACATGGGGGATACAAACACATGGTACACACAGAGATGGGGGATACAAACACATGGTGCACACAGAGATGGGGGATACAAACACATGGTGCACACAGAGATGGGGGATACAAACACATGGTACACACAGAGATGGGGGATACAAACACATGGTACACACAGAGATGGGGGATACAAACACATGGTGCACACAGACATGGGGGGGGATACAAACACATGGTGCACATACAGAGAGATGTGGGGATACAAACACATGGTGCACACAGACATGGGGGGGATACAAACACATGGTGCACACACAGAGAGATGTGGGGATACAAACACATGGTGCACACACAGAGAGATGTGGGGATACAAACACATGGTGCACACACACAGATGGGGGGGATACAAACACATGGTGCACACAGACATGGGGGATACAAACACATGGTGCACACAGAGATGGGGGGGATACAAACACATGGTGCACACACAGAGATGTGGGGATACAAACACATGGTGCACACAGACATGGGGGGGATACAAACACATGGTGCACACACAGAGAGATGTGGGGATACAAACACATGGTGCACACACAGAGATGGGGGGGATACAAACACATGGTGCACACAGACATGGGGGATACAAACACATGGTGCACACAGAGATGGGGGGGATACAAACACATGGTGCACACACAGAGATGGGGGATACAAACACATGGTGCACACAGAGATGGGGGATACAAACACATGGTGCACACAGAGATGGGGGATACAAACACATGGTGCACACAGACATGGGGGATACAAACACATGGTGCACACAGAGATGTGGAACCTAAACACATGGTGCACACACAGAGATGGGGGATACAAACACATGGTGCACACACAGAGATGGGCATACAAACACATGGTGTACACAGAGATGGGGGATACAAACACATGGTGCACACAGAGATGGGGGATACAAACACATGGTGCACACAGAGATGGGGGATACAAACACATGGTGCACACACAGAGATGTGGGATACAAACACATGGTGCACACAGAGATGGGGGATACAAACACATGGTACACACAGAGATGGGGGGATACAAACACATGGTGCACACACAGAGATGGGGGATACAAACACATGGTACACACAGAGATGGGGGGATACAAACACATGGTGCACACAGAGATGTGGAACCTAAACACATGGTGCACACAGAGAGATGGGGGGGATACAAACACATGGTACACACAGAGATGGGGGGATACAAACACATGGTACACACAGAGATGTGGAACCTAAACACACGGTGTACCCAGAAATCAGCTACATAAAGAGATGGGGGGGGGGGGATAAACACATGGTGTACTCAAAGAAATAGGGAACCCAAAAACCATGGCTGCCTGAAGCCACAATGGCCAAGCCAAGGTACACGGCTGCCGTCAGCTGCAGGTCGCAGCTGACGGCAGCCCAGGTAGCGACATAACCACCACGTGTGGGGAAATGTGGAACAGAAACGCGTTGTGGTAGGGTTGGGATTTGGGCTACCGACCGGCTCCGGCGCCGCCTCGCACAGAAGCGGTGTTTCCTGTCGCAGCAGAATGTGTGGCGCAAGTGAAGACCATAGGGCAGCGATGCGAGGAATTGACTCCGTTCTCAATCGAATAGAATAGCCTTTATTTAACCGGGCGAAAGCCCAGGCAGCAGATCCGTCCATCTCCCTCCACAGATACAAACGGAGCCACGCAATCACGGTTATATATCTTTTTTGTTATCTTGTACAAGAAATAGCGACCTGCAGTCGTTAGGTCAATGACACAATGGCTTCCCTCTTACAAACGACATCACAGGCCCGTTAAACGCCTTGTAGGGCATTGAGTCAATGGATGGAATGTGCCAGATAGGATTCCCTCTGCAGAGATGGAACAATAAAATCCGCTCATCACAAGACTCCGAGAGAATCGGTGGCTTGGCCTTCATCCAGCAGTGGACTGATCGTGGGTGGTTTTAATGCACTGTGGCAATGCCTCTCAGAGAGCGCTGGGCAGATATGGGAGTCAAACCTGGGTTTAATCTCTCACTGAATATTTTCCGGGTCGCTGGTATAGACTGGAGTAGGTGGCACATGACTCGCAGCCACCACAGGCATAGTTAGGGGAATATACTGGACGTGATGTTCCGGATGCTGAAAATTCAACCGTGAGTGAAACCCCCGCCGATGCCATTCGGCGTCGCCGCCACCGCGTCTGTGCCGCCCGCCACTGTCACTCGATGTGGCCCCAGCGCTCCGTGCGCGGCTCCACCTTGAGCACGAGGCCCTGCCCCAGCACGGCCATGTCGCCCAGCACCGCGGGGACGTTGGGCACGAGCGCTGTGGCCGCGGCGGCGGCCTTCCGCTCGCCGCCTGCGACGCTGTTCTGGCCGTGCGGCCGGCGGGCCGCCACGTGGGATGTCTGGAAGAAGACACGCCGGACACGCGCACGCCGGACGCACGGGACACGCACACGCCGGACGCACGGGACACGCACACGCGCGCACACACACGGAGACACGGATGCACGTGAGCAGACGGGCGTGAATGTCATAAAATGTCACCATCGCGGGCCCCCTGCTTCCAGCTGGGTTCGTGTCCCTTGCAGGTCCTGAGGAAGTTGCAAGTGACCGGGCACGCTTGAAAAGGGGTGTTTACAGGGAAGCGGGTATGTATGTATGCACCGTAAGTAGCCAAACGTGCTAATTGGAGGTGCGGGTGCGCTGGTAAGCATCTCGAGTGAGCAGGTGTGTTTGCGCGAAGCGAAGAACATATTATCAAGAGGGCGAGCATGTGAGCCGGTGCAAGTGCGAACGAGCGATTACCGCGAAGGGCTGCGGAGCGAAGGCGTCCGGGCGCCACACCACCCCGATGACGTCACCGCCGTGGGGGTCGTGGAAGAACAGCGCCAGCTCCCCAAACGCGTCCTGCGGAGAGGGGACCCGGCGCCGGCGATCAGCGACCGCGGCCACCGGAAAGACGCCGTCACCGTCGGGGCGTCCCCCCCCCCTGCCACTCCCGGCCCTCAGCCGGGCCAGAGGCTCCCCAGCCCCGAAAGACACCGACGCGGTCACGGGCTCAGGGCCTCACCTGCAGCTCCTGCAGGAAAAGGCGCGCCGGGTCGTACTCCACGGCCGGCATGTGGTGGTGCTGAGCCTGCCAAGACGTGGGGGCCGCCTTGGCCGCCCTGGCGGGCTTGGCGGGCAGCAGCACCCCCCGCTGCAGCGTGACGGCGGGGCGGTCCACGGCGTGGGCGGCGCGGGGCAGGTGGCGCGGAGCCAGGCGCAGCAGCACGTCAAACACCTCCAGCGAGGGCCGGAACACCTTCTGTTGTCACGGCAACCGAGTGGGGGAAGAAGGAGGGGGGCGACGAGCCGGTGGGGTCCAGCAGTGGAGAGTGGCGTTAACGATTCACACCACCCTCCTGTGTGTGCGCACACGCGTGCGTTCATTTGGGCAACCATCCGCTTGTGCGTGCGTGTTAAGGTGGTGCAGCTGCGAGTCCTCTCGGTCAGCCAACCCATGGCAACTGGGTCTGTCCCGTGGCCTCCAGCCAGCAGGCGTTCGACACTTCACGTGGCCTTGAAATGTACATAGCCTGGCACAAACGGCACGGTAACGTCACCGCCACTTCGTGGCGAACGGCAGTTTGTGTTCAGGGGAGTTGAGGCGACAGCTCCCGCCCCAACAGTCTGAGTGGATGCAGGGGGGGTAACCTTCGTCTTTGGGTGTTGTGGGGAGTGGTGGCGCCGTGGTTACCAGTGGTGGCACTATCCACTTGGCGACATGGGTTCAAAATTCCCCATTACAGCTAACGTCAGCGGCGAGTGATATCTGAACCAGCGTCAGCCACCCCCCCCAAAACCCCCCCCCCCCCCTGCCCACACCCCTTTTACCACGCTGGCGCTGGCCAGCGTGGCGAAGTACGGTCAAACCACCCCGGTGCTCGGAGACGTAGCTTGCGCGGTCTCTTACTCTGATGTCGCTGCTCGGTTCTGGCTCCATCATCGCTCGCTCCAGGACGTTGCACGTCTCGGCCGCCAGCGCCATTAGCCGCTGCAGGATCTGGGAGACATGGGAGGGGTGGGGTGGGGGGAGATCAGGCCCAGAGCAAAGATCAACGACGCTCACGAGTCTCCGTGGGTCCGTCCCGCGCAGGCACGCCGGGGGTCAAGGGCGAGCGAATTGGAATGAATCGCACTCGCAGTGGAACTGTCGTCGTTGTCGCAGCAGCAGCAGCCCACCAACTGTGCTGCTGTAGCCGTCGAGTAATCATGGACCCCCGGGTCTGGTCCCGTAACCTCTTGCCAGCGGAGCTTCCGACATTGCACATGATTCACAGGGTACCAAGCCCGCCACAAAGCGCTGCGGTGTAATTCCTGTAAATTGGTGATGAATGGCAGCTGCTGCTCCATGTTGATGTTGTTGTGACCTGGAGAGAACTCAACGGGGCCAGGACAGCGGCCTCATCATCAGAACAGTTACCTGGGCCACCACAATTACAAAACCAAAATACACAAAATAAAGTGCAGCAATGAAGCAAATAGCAAAAGCAACTTCATCACACGAGTATTAAAAAATATTGCAGGAACATAAAGCAGGGTAAGTCGGCTCGAGTAGATTCTTTTTAGACCAACCAGAGCACAATTACAAAATAAAGTTACAATATGAAACAGATTTATAAAATTATTGGGTGCGGCTGCATTGGCAGTGGTATCACAAGCACCAACAACAATAAAACTCAACACGTTCCGTGTCAATAACACGGCGGCATTAAAATAAAACATATACAATAGGTGACATTTCGGGCAATGGCCCTTCTTCACAGCGCTGTGAAAGTTCTATTTATAGGAGGCCCATACAGAGGTCAGCACCCACAGAGGCCAGCGCACACAGAGGTCAGCGCACAGAGAGGCCAGCGCACACAGAGGTCAGCGCACACAGAGGTCAGTGCACAGAGGCCAGCGCACAGAGGTCAGCGTACACAGAGGTCAGTGCACAGAGGTCAGCGCACACAGAGGCCAGCGCACACAGAGGTCAGCGCACAGAGGTCAGCGCACAGAGGTCAGCGCACAGAGGCCAGCGCACACAGAGGTCAGCGCACACAGAGGTCAGCGCACACAGAGGTCAGCGCACACAGAGGTCAGCGCACACAGAGGTCAGTGCACAGAGGCCAGCGCACAGAGGTCAGCGCACACAGAGGTCAGTGCACAGAGGTCAGCGCACACAGAGGCCAGTGCACAGAGGTCAGCGCACACAGAGGCCAGCGCACAGAGGTCAGCGCACACAGAGGTCAGCGCACACAGAGGCCAGCGCACACAGAGGTCAGCGCACACAGAGGCCAGCGCACACAGAGGTCAGCGCACACAGAGGTCAGCACACACAGAGGTCAGCGCACACAGAGGCCAGTGCACACAGAGGTCAGCGCACACAGAGGTCAGCGCACACAGAGGTCAGCGCACAGAGGCCAGCGCACACAGAGGCCAGCGCACACAGAGGCCAGCGCACACAGAGGCCAGCGCACACAGAGGTCAGCGCACACAGAGGTCAGCGCACACAGAGGTCAGCGCACACAGAGGTCAGCGCACACAGAGGTCAGCACACACAGAGGTCAGCGCACACACCTGTGCTGTGGGGGTGCCCCGAGTCCACATGGACGAGTGGTGGTCGTCCGGCGTCGCGATGAACATCACCGGGTGCTGGGCCCGCATCGCCGATAGCCGCGTGCCGACCTCCGTCACGTCGGCTTCTGGGACGAGGGAACATCGTCGAGGGAACATCGTCACGGCAACGTCGTCATCGCAAGTCAGAGGTGAGGACCGGGCCGGAACGGCCTAGCGCGAGCGCCCCTGCCGCTTGCTGCAGAGATTCACGGTTCGAGTCCAGCGGCCGCCCTGGTAAATGCTGCGGCTGTGTGGTACTAACCGTAGTAATACGACTACGCCCCATCTGGATCACTGACAGTGGATCCCCGTGGCGGGCAGGAGCGGAGCACTGCTCAGTGGGATGTTTGAGCTGAAGTTCACGTGTCGCGTGTATATTATTTTATTTGCAGGTATTTTTTCCCCCGCTTCCTCCCTTTTCCTTCTCCTTCCCACCCTACCTCCCCCGATTCCCCCCTCCCTCCCTCCCTCCCTCCCTCCCTCTCCTTCCCCCAGTACGTTATCTTCCCCCTTTTCCCCTCCCCATATAAATCTTCACGTCCCCCCCACACGTGGTCCCCACCTGCGTGGGGGCAGTGATCCCAGTTTTCCCCCCTTCATTGGGCCGAAATCGAGTCGCCATGCGCGGAGTTTCTGTTCCACCTCCTTTCTGTGATCGGCGTTTTCTACCGGGCTTGCGGCGAGTTGGAAAAAAACTTTTTTTTAAAGATCCCCGTGGCGTCATTCGCAAGAGTAGTAGGCCATCGTGTGACGAGGTCACGGTCCAAATTCGGCAGTTTTTTTAAAATCGACACCGCAAATAACTCAATTGTGATCACACAGCGGCAGCCATCGGCCCCACGGTGTAGCCGTTCGTTACCCTTCATGGTGTTGTTAAAGTTGACGACGAGGGCGCTGTTGGCCCAGTCGAATGAGGAGATGAGCTCGAGCACGCGGAGGAACGCCACCTGCGGGCAGCTGAACGCGACACGTGCAACACCATCGTTATCATCATGATCGTTATCATCATCATCATCGATAACATCATCATAATAGGTATCATCATCACCGTCAATGTCATCGTCATCAGTGTTACCGGCTTCATCAACATTATCACCATTATCATCATCATCACTATAATCACCATCATCGTTATAAGAGGCGCACGCAAGATAACTGCTGTGCTGAACAGCTCAGGCAACCCATGCACACACACAGATCCCCCTAGATTCCAAGCGAGCACCTATTAAAGCCAATATGGCAACCTTTGTCTCCCCAGTGCTGATGTTTTACACACTTTACCAGGTGGTCATGTAAGCCTTAGCCCACTAAGGGGAGGCCCATGATCATTTCAAATATTCATTGTCAGTGTCGTTGGTCATGGGCAGGAATGGAACTAGGGTTGCCGAGTTCGGATCGCAATGCACTATCCACTGCACAACCGCTCCCTATATTTAAGACACGCGCCCACACACACGTGCACACGCGCGTTCTCACACACACACATACACGTGCGCGTTCACTCACCTGGGCGTGCTGTAGGGCGCGGGCTGGAGGAAGACGCGCGCCACCAGCAGCTCCACCGCCTCCTCGCGCACGTAGTCACTCAGCAGCTGTGCCGCCACCCAGCGCGCGGTGAGGCGGCACGCCGCACTGAATGCTGGGTACTGCTGCTGCAGCCTGAGCCGGGGAGGGAGGCGGTAGAGGGGGATTAGGGAGCACCATCAGCTTCGAGCACCACCGGTATGGCATGGCCGGTGTAGCTGGCGCAGATGGTGTTGTAGGGTCGAGGGCACGACGAAATGACCGCTGCGGTGCGACGGCGTAGCAGGGCGGTGGCGCCGTGACGGTGTCGCGGCACGGTGCCGTGACACGGCGTGGCAGTGGTGCGCGAGCTCACCCCGCGATGTGGCTGGCGTGGAGCGGGCGGTGCACCGTCTCTCTCTCGAGCGCCAGCGACTCCTCGGTGTCGCGGAGCTTCACCGCGCCGTCTGGCGCCCGCTGCTCCTTGAGTATGGCGGGCTCGCGCCGGTAGGCCACGCGCACGCGGAACACGAACCCATCCTGCGCGCCGGCACGGGGGCGGGTTCGGGGGCAGCACGGGGGTGGCACGGGGGCGGCACGGGGGTGGCACGGGGGCGGCACGGGGGCGGCACGGGGGCGGCACGGGGGTGGCACGGGGGCGGCACGGGGGCGGCACGGGGGTGGCACGGGCGTCAACACGGCGGAAGGCGCGCACCGCGGGACCCAGGTTTTCACAACTCGCGCGACACGCGGCGCTAGTGGAAGGCGATGCCGGTGAGGAGGCCCCACTAAGCCGAGCGGCGGCAGCTACGAGACGTTGCGTGACCGGGCCAAGACCGATATAATTCGCCATACGCGGCTGAAACGGCGATTCGCCCCTCCACGCCGAATGCAGCGCCTCTCGTTTAGACCGAACGCTCTGGAAGCAATTAAAGGCAATCACAATCTGGTGAAGCCCCCCCCACCCCTTCCCCCCTTACGTGACCCTGCCCCATTCGTACCTTGTAGACGTCGACGTGCGATTGGCCTGGCTGGCAGGTCACATGGTGCTCCCGGCTCAGCAGCTCGGCCAATCGGATGTGGAAGGCGGCCTTGATGCGACGAATCCCCTCGCGCTCCTTGGGCCATCGGCCGCTCCCCTCCATGTGGCAGATCACTGCAGGTCAGGGGTCAGCGGTCATGGACATTGTCAACGGGTTAAAAGAAGTCGGGATATTAATTTCTGGCTGAGCGGATCTGGTAGGATCCCGGGCCGAGACGCGCGGGGGGGCGACACGCACGCACGCACCGGTCAGCGCGGGGACGTAGGCGGGGGCCGGCTTCTCGGGGTCGGGGGTCAGGACGGGGCCGTGCTCCCAAGGGCGGCTGTAGCCGGGGTCCACGGTCGTGGGGACAGGCGGCATGACCTGGGCACGCGTGCACAGAGACAAAGATCCCACGCGTAGCCTTTAACAGACCGCTGGGGCAAGTGCCGCGAGCGGGCACCTCGGACCACACGTACAGAACCGCGCAGACGCACGCGGACAAGCGTGCACATCGGACTCTCTGCGGTGCCGCGTCGCGCGCGCGTCTCACCGCGGTGTGGCGTAGCGCGGGATGCGTGCCCTGCACGCTCGTCACCGTGAGCGGCAGCCCCTGCAGACCGCGCAGCCAGCGTCCCAGCTCGTCAAACGCCTGCACCGCCGCCGTCAGCTCCTCCTCGCCCGTGCGGCGCTGACGGCGTGAGCGATGGGGGTGGGGGGGGGAAGAGGAGAGGGGGGAGGAGCACAATGGTCACGACGCATGGCGAACAACGTAATCCCCACCACCCCGCCACCTGAGAGCACCGCCCAGATGACCAGGGGGCGACGGCTGTGTGTGAAGCTGCGCGTTACGTACGTGCGCGTATGCTCCGCATTCCGCTGGTGTGCTGCGGTGGTGCAGCGGCTAACGGGCTGTGCTACGAACCTGGCTGCCCGAGTTTGATTCACGCTCACCGGTCCTGGACCCTCCTCGAGGTCGACACAGACTTAAATGAGTACCTGGTGCGGTGTTTTAAACATCGGCATTGGGTAGACAAAGGCAGCCGGACGTGGTGTTGGCCACCCACCCCCTCCGTGTGCCAGCCTTAATTTAGGTGCTCGCTAAGAGCACTTGCCCCGAGAGTCTGTTAAGGCTATACGGGGGATCTTTGTTTTGTGTGTGCGTGCGAGTGCGTGAGCTCACCTGGGAGGGGCGCGCGTGTGGGACCTGGATCAGCGCCTCCACCTGCCCGCCAACGTAGCTGACGCACTCCGGTGGCACGTCCGTATGCCTGCGCGCGTACACGTGTGTGCGTGTGGAGCGTTGGAGCTGACGTTATCAATCTGGCGACCCGAGTTCGATTCCCACTCGCGGCCAACATCATTAACAGCGAATATGTGAACCTGGCCCTGGGCCTCCCCTAGGGTCTACTCAGCCTTAACAGAGTACCTGATGCGGTGTGTGTACACATCAGCACTGGGGAAACAAAATGGGCCGGGTGTGGTGCTGGCCACCCAGCCCCTCGTGTGCCGTCCCCCCCAGCCTTCATAGGTGCTCGCTAACGGCACCTGCCGCAAGAGTCTGTTAAGTCTACACGGGGGATCTTTGTCTTTTTGCATGGGGAGACGTGAAACAGTGGTTCGCGCCAAGGGTATAGGACACAGGGGGCTTAGTTTAACTGTGGAGCGCTCACGTGAGGGGGGGGGGTGGGTAGACTCACGTGTGCAGCAGGTGCTTGATAATTTGCTCGGGAATGAGCCGTCGCTTGGCAACCGAGTCACATGACCAGAGGACTGCCTCGCAGATCGAGCCGTCCTGGAAACGCCGCAACTCCGACCTCTCACCCCAGAACGCTCGGAACTCCGCTGCCTGGGGACGGGGAGACAAAGGCGGTCAGGAGCGGGGTGGCGCGGCCCACGTCACCATAAATTCACACGGTCTCGTTGCAGCACGGAGAAATCCGATGAGCTATGAAGCTCTTTTTCACAGATGTCCAGAAGGGGCATGGGGTCAGAACGTTACAACAAACAATACAAAACAATAGGGGGTGCAAAGTATAGGAAAGGTAGACAAATCACTAAAATAAATACATGAAATAGATAAAGGATATACATTTAATTGCATAAGGAAGAAAAACAGCAAACACAGTCCTGGACCACACCAGGACAACACACAGTCCCTCAATAAAATTGCACATTAAAATGTCACTATCAATACTTGGGTAAGGATGAAAGTTACAATTCACATTTGCAAACGCAGTTGTATGCAGCAATGATCCTCTGCTTCACGATATATTTTGAAGGAAAAATTACGATGCTGAGGGAGGACACAAAACGTTGGTACAGCAAAGGCCAAGGCCAAGCAGGCTCGAGCGTGAGGAGTGGTCCCGGCCTTCACAGGCGCTGCTCGCCAACAGCACATGGCCCAACAGCCTGCATCTTTTGTGTGTGTGTGCGTGTGTGCGCGTGTGTTTGTGCGTGTGCACGTGCACAAAGACCTGTGCGGAGTCGGCAGCTGGTCCACGCTCCAGGACGCCGGTGTAGAGGTCAGAGTTCAGCAGGAGGCCAAAGGTCACAGGCCCAAGGTCACGGTGCAAGGGAGGCTCGGTTGTGATCTCCCACTGGTGGTGAAAACCGCGCTGTATCAACCGCAGTCACCACCATCGCACTGCCACTACCACCCCTCTAACACTGACACAAGCACACGTACAGCGCACACTCCATCCCTTCGCACACCTCTTCCTCCCCTCTTATTGCACCCACAACAAGAGCCACCATTCACCATGCACGAGGGGGTGGGCAGCACCACGCTTTCACAGGCACCTTTGTTTCCTCGACTCGGCCTCAAATGAGTAGCTCTGTGCGGTGTTTAAACATCGCCAACAGGGAGACAAAGACGGCTGGGTAAGGTGCTGCCAGACCCACCCTGTTATGCTCGCTAACAGCACTTGCCCCAACAGTCTGGTAAGGCTACACGGGAAATGTTTGTCTTTGTGCATGCGTGCGTATGTGGGCGACTGCGCGTACCTCCGGGGATGCGCGGGGCGCGTGGGCCACCGCAAGGGCGCGGGCCCCGAGGCCGCGCTGCAGGAGGCGAGCGAGCGAGGGGAGGGCGGTGGCCACGTAGTCGCCGCCGCGGTCCAGCAGTGCGGGCAGCAGCGCCAGCTTGCGGCACACGGCCTGCAGGCGGCTGGCACGCACGCTGCAAGGGCAAGCGCAACGCACGGAGACAAAGCCAACCCGGTTAGCCCACAGGGGCCGCCGGGGCAAGGGCTCGCAGGGGTGTACTGGCGGCGCGGTGTTGTGCGGAGCGGTGTAGTGCGGAGCGGTGCAGTGAACTGGTGTCTCACTGCAGGAGGTGGTCGTGGGCGCGAGCGAAGGGCACGCGCCGCATGAACAGCAGCTCAAAGGCGTCTGGGGCCCCAGCATCCAGCACGGCCAGAGACGCGCGCGCCTCCCGCTGCACCTACACCGGCGGACCACAACGGTGGCGGCGTCACACAGCAGCGTCGAGAAGCGAGGGGGTGAGGGGTGGACGGTGGGGTGAGGAGGGAGGGAGGGAGGGAGGGAGGGAGGGAGGGAGGGAGGGAGGGAGGGAGGGAGGGAGGGAGGGAGGGAGGGAGGGAGGGAGGGAGGGAGGGAGGGAGGGAGGGGGCCCACTCACGCGGTGGAAGGTGGCGGCTGTCATGTCGGCGCACAGGTTGAGGTGGCCCGTGGGGTCAACGAACACCACATCGTAGGCGGCGTGGAAATCGGCGAGCGATGGCTGTGGGAGGTCGGGAGGGGAAGTGAACGCCCGATCAGCTGCTCGTGCGGTGTGGTGAAAACCGCAACACCGCTCCCCCGCGTACAGGCACGCAAGGCAAGCACCGCTCAACTGAGACCCACACGGCCACAGATCCCCCGGTAACGGTGCGCTGTTGGGCCAAGAGCTGTCGTCCCAGTTCCCCATAACAAAAACAAAGATCCCCCGTATAGCCTTAACAGACTGTTGGAGCAAGCGCTGTTCGGGAGCGCCTACGAAGGCCGGCACGGCACACGAGGTAGTGGGTGGCCAGCACCACGCCCGGCCACCTTTGCCTCCCCAGTGGTGATGTTTACACACCGCACCAGGTACTTATTGGAGGCCCAGTCGACCTAGGGGAAGCCCAGGACCGTTTCAGATAATCGTCACTGGTGTTGACGCTGAGTGAGAATCGAACTTGGGTCGCTGGAATCATAGTGCAGTGCAAGCTAATCGCTACATTATCACTCACCCTAATTCCCCACAACACACACAATTGCACACACACGGCCACACACACCCGGCTGCCTTTGTCTTCCCAGTGCTCATATTTACACCGCACCGGGGTACTGATTCAAGGTTGAGTCGACCTAGGGCAGGGCCAGGACTGGTTCTGATATTCGTCACCGACGTTGGCCGCGAGCAGGCATCGAGCTGGTCGCACACACAACGCCGGCACGGCAGGCGACGCGGCCTGTAACCGCCACTCGGCACGGCGCGTCGCCAGCACCCGCCCCGCCACGCGCGCCGGCGCAGCCACTCACCGTGCCATCCTGAGGCTCCTGCACGAAACTCGCGCCCTCCTGAGTCAGGTCCGTGTCGGCTGCACGCGGAGCACACGGTGAGGTGAGCGAGGTCGGTAAGCGCGAGTGGCGTGCGCGGGCGGGCGAGCGAGCGTGCAGGAGAGCGAGTTACCCAGGAAGTGCAGTGCCCCGCGCACCAGCTGGTAGCTACTCAGGGCGCGACTCAGCCGCCGCGTCGACAGCAGCAGCGCCAGCAGCATGGACGCCAGGAATCCGCCAAACCCGCCCTGACCCTGCACAGCGGCACACGACGTCACAAGTGGCGTCGCACACGCGGCACAGTACATGCACGTGATGTGGCACGGCACAGCCGATCTTCGGTGTCGATGTCATGGTGTGCAGTGGTGCGGCGCGGTATCTCACCGCGTGCAGCGAGCGCTGGCGGAGCCACACGCGTAGCAGCGCCGCCGCGTCCCTGAGCGCGGGGCTCTCGGCCGCCACCCCAAACAGGAAGTGCAGGTGCGGCTCCATGAGCAGGTCCGACAGCACGGCCGCGTTGTAGTGCGGCGTCGGGGGGGCGGCCGCTGAGACGGAAGGAGGAAGGGAGGGGAAGTCAGCGGCTGCTCCCCCCAAACAAAAGAGAACATTTTTAATCAACAATTTTTTGGAAATCTATTACTATTTTTATTTTTACTAGGGAAGACCCACTGAGCTATACAGCTCTTTTTCAGACGCGACCTGGCCACAAATGATAGCTGAAGGAAGTTGGTTATCAAGTGGAAATTTATCGCAGCCAAATCTCTAAACGCGTGATGTTGGTTCCATCTTGCGACGTCATCGGCAGCACGGAAGCCGACGGGCAGCGGCTGTCAGGAGGATACTCATTTGCATATTTGCAACTGGCCCGAGTTCTCCGGGCGACGTTTCCATCGATTCGTCTAAACGGCAGCAACAGCGGTGAAACGCCGACGACGGGTGGTGGGGTGGGTGGTGGGGTGGGTGGTGGGGTGGGTGTGGTGGGTGGTGGGGTGGGTGGGGTGGGTGGTGGGGTGGGTGTGGTGGGGTGGGTGGGGTGGGTGGTGTGGTGGGTGGGGTGGGTGGTGGGGTGGGTGGGGTGGGTGGTGTGGTGGGTGGTGTGGTGGGTGGTGGGGTGGGTGGTGGGGTGGGTGGGGTGGGGTGGGTGGTGGGGTGGGTGGTGTGGTGGGGGGGGTGGGTGGTGTGGTGGGTGGGGTGGGTGGGGTGGGTGGTGGGGTGGGTGGTGGGGTGGGTGGGGTGGGTGGGGTGGGTGGGGTGGGTGGTGGGGTGGGTGGGGTGGGTAGTGGGGTGGTGGGGTGGGTGGTGTGGTGGGTGGGGTGGGTGGGGTGGGTGGGGTGGGGTGGGTGGGGTGGGTGGTGTGGTGGGTGGTGTGGTGGGTGGTGGGGTGGGTGGTGGGGTAGGTGGTGTGGTGGGTGGTGGGGTGGGTGGTGTGGTGGGTGGGGTGGGTGGGGTGGGTGGAGTGGGTGGGGTGGGTGGTGTGGTGGGTGGTGGGGTGGGTGGTGTGGTGGGTGGTGGGGTGGGTGGTGGGGTAGGTGGTGTGGTGGGTGGTGTGGTGGGGTGGGTGGTTGCGATTCCGCCGGGGCCGCCACTCACCTGCCGCGCCGTCGCTGCCGCCCTCGCGTGGCGCTTTTCCCGCGAACCACTCGGGCCGGACGTTGTTCCTCGCCGGGTGGAACCGGCTCGGGAGGAAGAAGTTATCGGGCGGAACGACGTGGAGACGCACGGAGAACTGCCTCCCTGCCTTGCCTGCGCACGAGCACGCACCAGCGTGTAAGTCCGCACACTCGTACAACGACAAAGATCCCCCGTATAGTCTTAACAGACTTCTGGGGCAAGTGCTGTTAGCGAGCACCTTTGAAGGCCGGAACGGCACGAGGGGGTGGGTGGCCAGGACCACGCCTGACCACTTTTGTCTCCCCAGTGGCGATGTTTACACACCGTGCCAGGCACATATTTTTCGGCTGAGTCAACCGAGGAGAGGCCCAGAACCAGTTCAGATAATCGTCACCGTTGTTGGCTACGAGCGTGAATCAAACTCGGGTCACCTATTAAGTCCCACACGATAAACGAGAGGGTGAGTGACAGCACCACACCCAGCCACCTTTGTCTCCCCAGTACACAGTGCACCAGGTGCTCATTTAAGGCGCACACACACACGCCCACACAGGTACGCACTCTCACTCACCGCTGCTCAGCCTCCCACTCACCGGGCGGACGCACCACGAGCACGGGCGTGGTGTGTGCGGCGCGCGCCAGCGTGTAACGTAGGTCGCCCACGCCCGGCTTGTCGGCCAAGTGAGCGGCCAGGTGAGCCAGGTAGAGTGCGCGCTTGTGCAGGTAGCGCTGGTTCAGGTGGTCCTTGGGCTGCAGGCTTCCCTGCGGAGGAATCATCGCCAGGACATCTTCATCATCAAGTCATGCCGCCCACAAGCACTCTCTAGGCTCGAGTCTGCTTAGCTCCCATATGCCAGCAGTCTCGTGGTCGCGGATTCCAGTGGCCGCCCTGGTTAATGAGGCGACGTCTTTCACGAGAGTCGGCCACCGTGTGCCGGCGTTGAGACCCAAACTTGAAAGATTACACCGCAAATTCCTCCAATTGAGATCACACAGCGGCAATCGTCGCGCCCTCGTGCAAATACTTGGCAGGACCCTCCTGAAAAATAGTCCTGAGACTCTGCAAGGCTTTCGCGAGTAAACAAAAGTAATAATAACGTGTGAGAAGAATATGAGCGAGCTGGTTGCCAAGCGACAGCACAATCATCAGAGGCGGCAGCAGCACGAGCAGCATGTGCGTGGTTACCGTCGGCATGGTGACGGCGACGTCAACGGCCACGTCAGGCCGCACGGTGGTGCCCAGGAGGTAGCTCCCCACCACACGCACTGCCGCCGGCGGACCCGAGCAGAAGCGGCCCTTCAGTAGGCCCGGTCCTGGCCGGAACGGTACTTGCACCGAATCCCCCGAATCCAGATCCGGCACGCACACCTCCTCAGACAGCTGGGGGAGCGGGAGGCAAGCACAGTAAATAAGACGGATCATGTGACCTTATACTGCTGCCCCCAACCCCCCCCTCACCCCACCAGGCACCCGGCCGATGATTTGGAAAGTCGAGTTCTCGGACCGGTTCGCTGGGGGTGCCAGCTAAGCGAGTGGCCAGCGCCGCTAGTGGCATCGGCTGACGGATAACCGTTCGCGTTGAGTTCAGGACCGCTGGCATGACGTGCGGTTGGTAGTGGATGTGGTTGTGATTGTGGCAGTCCCGTTGTCGGTAGTTGTGTCTGGTTGGCGGTGGTCGTGTGCAGTTGTAGTTGACCATATATGTTTGGTGGTGGTTGCGTGGGATCGTGATTATGCGTGTGTGTGGTTGTGTTTGTGCGTGGTTGTGGTCGGCAGGGGATGCGGTTGCGTGTGGTTGTCGGTGGTTGCGTGTGCTTGGCGGTAGTCGCGTGTGTGGTTGTGTCTGTGGGTGTGGGGATACGCACGGACTGCGGAGGAGTGGGGGGCACTCCATCGAGGAGGCCGTTGAGGTCGTGCAGGAACGCGTCGATCATCTCACGCTTCTTCTGTGGCAACCGAACCTCGGCCAGCAGCTCATCCAGCTACAAAACCACAACGGCATCCACAAGGACATCAATAACATTAACAACCACAACAACGACATTACCATCAACAACAGTACACGCAAGACCCAAACACATACAGCAACCGCTCGCACGCATCTCGCATGCACACACTCAGACCAAAAGACAAATATCCCTCGTACAGCCTCTGTCGACTTTTGGGGCAAGCGCTGTTAGCAAGCACCTATGAAAGCTGGCACGGCACATGAGGGGGTGCGTAGCCAGCACCACGCCCGGCCGCCTTTGTCTCCCCAGTGGCGATGTTTACACGCACGGCACCAAGTAGTAATTCAAGGCCGAGTGGACCTAGGGAAGGCCCACGCAAGCACACACCTGCATGCGCAAGAGGCCCGAGTGGAACAGCTGCTGGGTTTCCCGCAGGTGGTTAAGTTCCTCCGAAGTGGGGGGCCGATACAGGTCTTGTTTCACCGGTTTGGAGGGTGCGGGGGGGTCCTTGGGGGCACGCACGAACCGTCCCGCCTCCTTGTCCACCTCCTTCTTATCCTCCTCCTTCACCATCTCTTCTTTCACCTTTTTCTGTTTGACACCACACAGGTTAATGGATTAATTTATTTACGTGCTGAAGATAAATAAGCAGCCAATGTGTCTCCTTCACATTATCTGCCTCTCTGCATAACAAAAAAAAATACATCCCATCTGCCACACTTCCACATGGGAGTGCAGAATCCCAGCCGCATTGGTTCTATGCAAGCAAAACTCTGGACCAGTTTCAACATTCAGTGTCCCATCAGCAGTCAGGCTCGCTTGACCCAATGCTGCTGAAATGCCAGATGTTTATAGGCAAGGGCCCTCTCTGAGATATGGGTCCGAACTCGACGCGTGAGTGTACATATGTATCCGAGTGCACATCAACTAACCTATAAACTGACCTCTTTTTGTATTTTACCAGGTAAGACCCACTGAGCTTCATAGCTCTTTTCCAGAAGCGACCTGGCCACAAATGATAGCTCAACGAAGTGGCTCATTACGTGGTAATGGATAGCACCCAAATACAGACACCGCAAACTACAAATATGCAGCAGGCGTCAATCAAGGGTGGGAATCGAACCCACGACCTCCTGTATACCAGGCGATGGAATTAACTTTTCGCCACCGCGGGGTATATAAATTCGTAATACAAACTCCAATAAACACTAATAGGTAACTATGCACAACTTAAAAAAAACTGGTAAGTGATTTTACAAATGTTCCTGAAATTTGTTTTACACAAAACGCCATTTTTGCGGGGTATATGCGTCTGCGGGTTATATGCGGGGAAATAGTTCATTCTCTTTGAGACCCCCCCCGACCCCCACATGGTGCACAGAAGTGCAGCAGCCTCCTCGTATTGCCCACTCTCCATCTCTCTTGTGGCCGTGTATATTTCCAATGAAAAAGGGTCGTTGCCCGAAACGTCGTCTATTGTCTTTTTGTCCGCCCCTTTAAAGGCCACACGCAGTGTAATTTTTTTTTAACAGTGCCCGTGCACCACCTTCTTGCCAAACGCAGCATCCGTTGTTGATGCGCGATGGGGAGATCAACTCTCTAGGCCGGAGCTCGGCTTCTCCGACGAAGAACCGAGCGGAGTTTAAAAACCTCCACAAACCCCGCGCCGCACCCGATCTTCCATCGCGTGGTCACCGTTCCGGTGAACTCCACTCACCGATTCGTCCCCCGACCCGTGTTGAAGACTCGGCAAACCAGAAACGGATCCATCTCATCCGCCACACCGCGTTCAACCACCACCATTTCAGATCACAACTCACTCGCTCACCCATCACTCACCACACTTCAGCTCACCTCACTTCCATTTCTGCTTCATTCCCCGCACTGCTCCACGTTGCAATTCGCTCAACCCATCACCATCGTCGTGTCTGTTCCCCAAGCTATTACAACAATAAACTTGCTCGGTGACTAAAACATTACCTGTTACACTCTTGTCTATCATAACGTTCAAAATAATCATTGGCGTATTTCGGGGGTGGGGGGGGGTGTCCCCTTGTGCTCGGCAAAGCGAGCTACGGGAAATAAAAGCGGGCCCACCCAGCACACACGTGAAACGCACCTCGCTCAGGGTCGGGGCCCCCTCCGCCACCTTCCTCTTCATCTTCAAAACCCTTCGCCCGCGCGTCCTCGCCTGCGGCAGGTGTTGTACCCCTCGGTGGGGGGAGGAGGGCGACGGCGACGACTCTCACCGGCGACTACAAACGAGTCGGGGAATGATCATTCACGACGACGACGACGAATCCACAGCCACGCGTGCCGCCTCGCCTCGCCGCACGTGGTTCGCGATTTATAAAACGCCGCCTTCGCCACGCGAGTTGCTCCTCCCGAGCCGCCGTCGTCGTCGCCGTGAACCCGTTGCCGGTTACATCACTTCCGCTCGTCCCCTCCCCCACCCGGACGTGACGTCACGTGTTGTGGCGTCGGGCTCGGGCAGCAGCAGCAGCGGCACAACACGCGGCGGCCATTTGCGACTCGTACACCCAGAGAGGGCTCCGGGCTCTCGCCTGCCTCTCTTCTCGTGCTCTCTCCCCGTGCTCGCTCCAAGGCTCTCTCCCCTTGCTCTCTCCCCGTGCTCTCTCCCAGGCTCTCGCCGTGCTCCCTCCCCGTACTCTCTCCCCGTGCTCTTTCCCCGTACTCCCTCCCCGTACTCTCTCCCAGGATCTCCCCGTGCTCCCTCCCCGTAATCTCTCCCCGTGCTCCCTCCCAGGCTCTCCCCGTGCTCCCTCCCCGTACTCCCTCCCCGTACTCTCTCCCAGGCTCTCCCCGGGATACTGGACCCGGAGCTGCGGGACCGCGGGACCGAGGTTCCCTAGTTTTCTGTCTCTTGAGATACCGCGTCCCCAGGGCTCCCCTGAGCTGTCGCGCCGCTCTCTGCGCTTCTCTTTTTGGGCTACTGGACGCGGCTCTCCACCCCCCCCCCCCCCGCTTGTGTCCGTTACTGCCGGGACGCCCTCCGCGCAGCGGCTACCGCCCTCGTCGAGCTCGCGGGGCCCTCGCGCGGAAGCGCAGTGCGGGAGACGACAGGGGGAGGTGACGCCGTACCCCCCCCCCGCCCGCCCACAGTGAGGCCCCCCCTTGCTTGCGGGTCCCGCTGCCTGCCTGCCGGTCTCGAGCTCCGCGTACCCCAGCGCAGTCACCCCTTCCCTCCACCCCCTACCCACCCACCCTCGGTCCCCTCTTTCCCACCTCATCTTCCCGCCTCGTACTCTTACACCACCAACACCTCATTCTCGTCGGACTCCTTGAAGCCAGCCGACAGCACCACCACCAGCACCACCCGCTCCACCATCACCGCCTCCTCGCCTCTCTCACGCCTCTTCCCTGAGCCCCAACCCCCCCCCTCGTTCCCAACTCCCTGGGGCCGCCCCTCTTCTAAGACCGACCCCTGTCCGTCCCCCGCGTCCCTCGTCAACCACCGCCGCCGTCGTCGTCACGAGTGCCGCCCCCGCCGCATCGCGCCGGGCCGAGAACGAAGGGGGAAGGGGAGCGCATGGCGGCGCCTCAGATGTCAAGCTCGCAGAAGGCGCTTTGGCTCGAGTGGAAGGGGCTGCAGGAAGAGCCCGTGGAGGGCTTCCGCGTCACCCTGGTGGACGAGGCGGACCTCTACTGCTGGGAGGTGGCCATCTTCGGGCCCCCCAGCACTCTGTACGAGGGGGGGTACTTTAAGGTGAGTGGGAGCTGGCACGAGTAAGCGGAGAGACCCCCCCCCCCACAACCCATCCTGTGTCTGTGAGAGGGGGGGGGGGCGCTTTTGTAGAAGGGGATCGGTTTTGAGGGTTCGCTCTGCCGAGGGGGGCCCTCGGTGCGGTAGAAGACCTCCCCCCTAACACCTCCCACTATCGTGTGGGAGTCGTTGTGGAAGGGAGATTTTGGGGATCAAGGTTATCTCGAGGTGTGGGTGCAAGGCCCCCCCTTAGTTGGGGTTCCTTTGTCTTCTACCTCAGATCCCCTTTGTTGGACGAGCGAGGGGAGGGGGGCCGCATGGGCCTCCTTTGTGAAGGGGGGGCCTGATTGGGGTCCCTGCTGCAGGGAGGTAAGGATCCTTAATCGGGGGTCCTTGTGGCAGAGACATCATACTAGGCGGACTCTCCCTCTTGATGAAGTAGGCCTCATGCCTCGTCCGGTGGGTGTCTTTGTAGAAGGCAACCTGTCTGGGTGTTCTTGGTCGAGTTGGCTCGACCGGAGGGATACGGGAGCAGGAGGGGGTGCGGGGCGAGCCTCAGGGGTATCCCTGTGTCAGGGAAAGATTGGGGTTTGACCCCCGATTGGCGTGGTATCTGGGGTACCCCTCGCCGCGGTTCCTTTGTTGAAGCCGGAGCGAGACGTGTGGGGTCCTTTGTGTGTGAGAGAGACGAGACGCCTTCCTGTGTCGGGACTGATCAGCTGTGTCCGCTCTATGCCCTGCCACCTTACTCTTGATGAGGCTTCGAGGATCGTCACACGAGGCGGTCAAAGCAACAACATCAACAGCAGCCACGCCACCCAACTAGCAGAGAGACTTAGTCACGTAGTGTACAGTACCAAATAAAACACATGTCACGGTGACCCACGCAGCAGTACCAAAGTAGACCAGGCTACGCAGTACCTAACACAGCAACCGAGGTTTTTGATCATCAATTCTATAAACCACGCCACGTTGACCAAAATAACAACAACAAAGCTGAGAAAAGATTTATTGTTTGATGTACACAATAGAGCATACGTTGCTGAAAGCAATAATACTTGAGTTCACCAGTACACTACAACAGTACACTACAAGACAAAGCACAAGACGAGGTTTAGTGGTGTCATTCTAGATTTGATTTTAGTGGTGTAAATGATGTATTATGAAGCACGTTACATTTAACACAGCAGCAGCAGTCGCATAGCTCATCGGCACATCACGAGCAACGACAACACACACAGAGTTGGGTCCATTGTGCGTTGTGTTAAATATAAACGGTTGTTACATTAACCCGCCACAAACGAACAATAACTGGAACACAACGCATTGGGGGCAAGGAAGTCGCCACGTGTGAGTGTTCACAATAACAACACGGGACATACACCTAAGTGTATAAACACAAATATTTACACACCGTGTTCACAATAACAACACGGGACATACACCCAAGTGTGTAAACACATCTATTTACACACCGTGATCACAATAACAACACGTGACATACACCCAAGTGTGTAAACACATCTATTTACACATTCATGTTCACAATGACAACACGAGACATACACCCAAGTGTGTAAACACATCTATTTACACACCGTGATCACAATAACAACACAAGACATACACCCAAGTGTGTAAACACATCTATTTACACGCCGTATTCACAATAACAACACAAGACATACACCCAAGTGTGTAAACACATCTATTTACACGCCGTGTTCACAATAACAACACAAGACATACACCCAAGTGTGTAAACACATCTATTTACACGCCGTATTCACAATAACAACACAAGACATACACCCAAGTGTGTAAACACATCTATTTACACGCCGTGTTCACAATAACAACACAAGACATACACCCAAGTGTGTAAACACACCTATTTACACACCGTGTTCACAATAATTAACACAACGACACAAAGGAATCTCGGGGTGTAATCGGATATTGACACATTTGTCACAATAACACGAGCATGGACAACAATAGCAACACGCTTTGTCGATGGGGAGTCGTAATTTTAATGTGTAAAATAGAGCACGTAACATTGAGCACTTCGCAATAACACAACCGGTTCGACACAACAAAGCGGGCAGAATTCACAATCTAGATCGATAACAACACCAATGACACCATAAAGCAATAATAACGTACACGAGAGAGTGGAGTACCAGGGTTTACAATTAAATGTTGTTCTATTGGTAACAATGACAACACAAAGCGCATCAAGGGTGCACCGTTTATACATAGCACGTGATTACTCACCGATCGCACAACACATGACAACACAACGCGTACACGGGCATTCATCAATTGGATGGAACACATTGCACGTCACCACCATAACAACAAAGACGGCACCAACACGGCATGGACAACGCCACAGAGTCGAGAGGACACCTTGATTGAAGGACGCATTACACCGATCACAACCATTACAACAATGAAAATATACAGCACGAGTTCTATAATAAAATAATCACAAAGCACTTTATTTATCGATCAACAACAACAGCAGCAGCAGCACGTGACAACACAAAGGGTTTCATTTATGCAGCACTCCGGTTACATTCATAACAACACAACAACAATGACAACGTTACACACGCATGTGTGTACACACACGTGTTCTCGTGTGTGTGCGTGTGTATGTGTACACACACACACACGTGTTCTCGCGTGTGTACACACACACGTCAATAATAATTTGAATCGGCTCCATTAACGAGGCGTTCATTGCTTAGCGCCTCATGCGGGACGTGTTTAACAATCATCGGGCGCGTGCAGCGTGGAACGAGTTAATTCGATTGGGGTGTAAGTTGGTAGAGTAACACGTTACATTGCTTAATGCAAAGTAGCATGCTGCTTTAGACACGGCGACAACAACGACCACAACAACCATGACAAACCAACAACCACATCAGACAACGACCCACACACAACAACCACAGCAACCAATACTGGGCCTGCCCGAGCAGCCGGCCTTCTTCATGGTGGGGACGAGCATAGGCGGACATTGTGTTGTGTGTGTGTAGTGTCATTGTGTTGTGTGTGTAGTGACTGTGTTGTGTGTGTGTGTAGTGTCATTGTGTTGTGTGTGTAGTGTCATTGTGTTGTGTGTGTAGTGACTGTGTTGTGTGTGTGTAGTGTCATTGTGTTGTGTGTGTAGTGACATTTTGTTGTGTGTGTAGTGACATTGTGTTGTGTGTGTGTGTAGTGTCATTGTGTTGTGTGTGTAGTGACGTCGTGTTGTGTGTGTGTGTAGTGTCATTGTGTGCGTTAGGGGCTGAACGATTAATCGATTTCAAATCGAAATCGAAGTTTGAAACAATGCGATTAGTAAATCGCAAAGGCTGCGATTTGAAAAGTCCTATTACTTAATGGAATTGTTTTATTATTTATTATAACTATTGATTTAAAAATAACGATTGCTTGTGTTGCGATGGAAACGTAGTTTTTTTTTAAACAAATTTTGTTCTACGTGACTGTACCGAAAGACCCAAAGAATGTTAACAATAGTTCCATGTTTGATTGTTCTATTTCAAGTAATTTTTTTAAATAAATGTTGGAAGCAAGTCATATCTTTTAAGTTCTCATCTTTGCATTAGAATATATAGAGCAGTTCATATTTTGGTAATGCTCATGTGGTATCATGTGGTAATGCTCCATCACGTGTTTTTAAGTCTATTATGCAGTGAATATTGAACTGATGCTTGACTTTAAAAAAAATAATCGCAAATCAAATCGCAATCGCAATATCTGTCAGAAAAATCGCAATTAGATATTTTCCCCAAATCTTTCAGCCCTAGTGTGTGTCATTTGTGTGTGTGTGTGTTATGGTGACTGTGTGTGTGTAGTGTGTTATGGTGACTGTGTGTGTGTAGTGTGTTATGGTGACTGTGTGTGTAGTGTGTTATGGTGACTGTGTGTGTAGTGTGTTATGGTGACTGTGTGTGTAGTGTGTTATGGTGACTGTGTGTGTGGTGTGTTATGGTGACTGTGTGTGTGGTGTGTTATGGTGACTGTGTGTGTGGTGTGTTATGGTGACTGTGTGTGTGTGGTGTGTTATGGTGACTGTGTGTGTGTGGTGTGTTATGGTGACTGTGTGTGTGTAGTGTGTTATGGTGACTGTGTGTGTGTAGTGTGTTATGGTGACTGTGTGTGGTGTGTTATGGTGACTGTGTGTGTGGTGTGTTATGGTGACTGTGTGTGTGGTGTGTTATGGTGACTGTGTGTGTGGTGTGTTATGGTGACTGTGTGTGTGTGGTGTGTTATGGTGACTGTGTGTGTGTGGTGTGTTATGGTGACTGTGTGTGTGTGGTGTGTTATGGTGACTGTGTGTGTGTGGTGTGTTATGGTGACTGTGTGTGTGTGGTGTGTTATGGTGACTGTGTGTGTGTGGTGTGTTATGGTGACTGTGTGTGGTGTGTTATGGTGACTGTGTGTGTGGTGTGTTATGGTGACTGTGTGTGTAGTGTGTTATGGTGACTGACTGTGTGTGTGGTGTGTTATGGTGACTGACTGTGTGTGTGGTGTGTTATGGTGACTGTGTGTGTGGTGTGTTATGGTGTTGTGTGTGTGTGGTGTGTTATGGTGACTGACTGTGTGTGTGGTGTGTTATGGTGACTGTGTGTGTGTGTGGTGTGTTATGGTGACTGTGTGTGTGTGGTGTGTTATGGTGACTGTGTGTGTGTGGTGTGTTATGGTGACTGTGTGTGTGTGGTGTGTTATGGTGACTGTGTGTGTGTGGTGTGTTATGGTGACTGTGTAGTGTGTTATGGTGACTGTGTGTGTGGTGTGTTATGGTGACTGTGTGTGTGTGGTGTGTTATGGTGACTGTGTGTGTGTGGTGTGTTATGGTGACTGTGTGTGTGTGGTGTGTTATGGTGACTGTGTGTGTGTGGTGTGTTATGGTGACTGTGTGTGTGTGGTGTGTTATGGTGACTGTGTGTGTGTGGTGTGTTATGGTGACTGTGTGTGGTGTGTTATGG